GAATGTTCATAAATAATATATATATTTAAATCTTATTTTACGTCATCATAAAATTTCTCAAAACATCCATGCTAATAACTTTATTACAACTGTAGACCATTGTTGGGGAATGCTAGAAGGTGTGAGGCTTTTTTCCCCTATCTAAACTTTTCTAAGGGGCTAAGATACAAAAGGAAGGGCATGACTTTTTCTCCTTCTACCTCTGAGTTAAGGATGATGTACGTTCTTTGTGCAAAGAGAAACACATTACACTGAAATGTTGAATCAGAGAATCAAACGGATTGAGAAAGGGAAAGAGGGGAAGGAGAGGAGAGAAAGAATAAAAAAAGAATGAAAAAAAGAGAAAAATTGAATCTGGGTCCTGCAAGTTAGGGTATTTTGGGATGCAGGTTTCCTTCTTGCCTTTGGAGATGATATGAACTTGGGTTAATTCCATCTATGGTCAACTTGTATGTCTGTAAACACAATTCTGCACATGTTTAGACAGACAAAAGTCCTACTATACCCACCCACCAAACTTCCTGGGGCATGCTGGGAGTGGTGTGAATTTCCAGTCTAAACATGCATAAGATAACATGCCTAATAAACTCAAATACTATAAAATGCCAATAAGGTTCTACTCACCTGTTTCCTAGCAAAAATAAAGCTGGGTAAACACTGCATTCCTGGATCTTTTCAATACTTGGACGATCAGGAAGAAACTAACCAGCAAGATGGCTTCATGTGCAAAGGCACGGTTTATCATATTGAGAAATTCTGATAATTGCAGGTATTTCAGTAATAACAAGACAAGCCTCTAATGAAGTTGGCAGCTGATTAAAGCTTTATGAAATTATCATTTTTTACAGATCTAAGAGATGTTGAGTTTTGCTTTCCCCAAACAATAGCATTCAGGTCTGTGTCATTCACGCAGCTGAAAGGTGTGTGACTCATGCCTATCAGTTTCAGTAGGGCTGGTGTGAAGGACAGACATGCTTGGGCAGCTGTCTAGGCTTCATGTCCCAGCAGGGAGGCTACTGGCAAGATCTCCCTGGACCTGTTCCACCTCTTCACCTGCCTCTGGCTTTGAACCAGACAATGGAGGTGGTAGTTATGTAAAAAAGCAGCAGTAGATGCCACTTTCTCCTTTCTTACTGGCTCACTGCTTGTTAAACATGCAGATAATAGCAATAACGAGAGAGAGAGAGGAGGAAGAGCAGCTGGAGACAATGCTGGTAAGCAGGTGGATGCATGCAGGGATCCCCCTCTAGTGAGTACCTTATCCAAGGGCCCCTGAATGCAGGGCTGGGATAGTTCGGGTCCCATATGTAGACCTGCTGATTCTCTGCAAGCCAATGAACTTGCTGCATTCTTCAGCATCGATAAGAGCCCCATCTGTCTGAAGTTACACTGAAGTTCAGGCTATTAATTCAGACACAAAACAGAAGAAGAATATTAAACTGGCACTTACATGTTATCTTCCACTTTCTGCAGTTTACCCTATGTGTCCATAACACTATAGATAATTAATCTCCTTGACAAGTTACAGGGGGATTTGGGTCTCATTTATTGCAGTTAAGTAATTCTGTATAAATATAGCTGCAGGCAGCATTCATCTTTCTGTTACAAATTAACTGTGATTGAATGGAAAAGGTATTACTTGTCCTTGTGTTCGGTAGGAGGTGAAGCTGTTAGTTATGACTGAAAACAGATCTTTCATGAAGGTATCTGGAAGTTCTGTAGCATTTAAGATATTTGCCCTAGCTGAGCCATTGCCTTATAGTACTTGTAAAAGTTGAAACCCATAGATTTTCCCTTTGTGTGCACACATGCACGCACGCACGCACACGGGGGTGGGGAGATTCTGCAGGTGGCAAAACAATTGGCACCGAGTCTCATTCATAGTGTAGTGATACTAAGAGACAATCCTACCCCAGTTCTAACCACATGATCTAGATATGGAATGGATTCTATTTGTGTGGAACAGATCACTCAGTCATAGAGATACAGCTTGTCACCAGCAGATACTCATGGAAAGAAATATCTACACATTCTGGGATTATGATAACACAGGGTTGCACTTGTATGGGTTGCTCATGTAGTTGTTTCCACCACCTGGCTCCAGCTCCCACATCCAAATGCCCTCTCTGTAGGCCTGAGCGGGTAATGATGAGTGCTGCTCTTATCACCAATCCTTTTTCTGTTCCTTTTGGACCTGATACTATCACAGAAGTACTGGTGAAGAGGACATAGGATGGTTCAGATGCCCTACTCTACAGGGGAAATCCACTATTTTGGGGAGCTGACCAAGGACAGTCCTTTGTTTTAAGGTCTTCTCTTCTTAATGGGCTACCACTCCAATTATGATTCAATGGTCTTAAGGAGTAAGGAAATGGGTCTTTAAGTTTTACTTTAACATAAAAGTCTTTAACTTTAACATAGACAGCATATTCAGCAAGTACATAGATCATCTGCCTGACTTTGGTGAAAGGTATTACATTTTTATTTAAAATATAGTTATTATTCCTAAATTTTCTACCAAATTTACAAACACAAAAGTTACATGAATTTGAGTGCACTTTTTGTGTCATTTAAATCAAGGTCAACTTTTAACGTGATGTTCTTTAAGAGTTATCAAACAGCTCAAGGAAATTAAGAAGTGGAACAAAGAAGTATTTCATGACACAACACCAAAAGCTGTACAGGGAGATGGGACATTGCTAAAATGGAATAATTCAAAAATGACTTAGTCACTTCAGTAACATGTAAAAAGGGACCAACCAATTGTAATGCCAATACAACGTCACATCACAAGATGGGATGCATATGTTACAATAGTACAATTAGAGTTCATTCGGTTATAAATACAATTTTTGGATTTGCACTTGAATTTTATAGTAATTCATAATGGGTATTTAACATATGGTTGGCTAATAGAGAAAACAATACTTTAGTGCAACTTGTAAATTATGGGAAAGTCTGTGGTGTTATTTTAAGAACTTCTTGTCAGGGAAGAAACATTCCATCTTCTCCCACTCCCCAGTTGACAATGATTCAACTATTTGATATATCAGTGTATCTGGAATTGTACCTAGGATTTTTATGTCTGAATACACTCAAACTTTGAAACCAGACTTGGGTTGTATCCAATGTCAGTCCTGCACATAGCAGATCCATAAAAAAGAATGGCAGTTAAATTACTCTTAGCCTGGATCCAACTCTTAGCTATATGTAGTGTAGATTCACTTGGTTATAAGTAATTTGTCCAATTGACTTTGGTGGTTATATTCTAAGACCAAGTCTGGATCCAACACACTGTATAACTTTAAGGAAGTCACAGTTTATAGTCTTCTGTTCCCTCAGGACTATAAAAGGAACATAGCACTGACTTACTCACTGGGAAAAACTGTTACAGCACAGTGTGTTTTATAATGACTGTGGAAATGCTAGTTAATAAAGTTCAAGGCATGCATCTTTGCACGCTTGCGTGCTTGTGTGCAAGTTGGAGATGGATGGCCAGGTAATAGCCATGTGAGGGCTTTGGCATCTCCTTGCAGGTATAACTGAATTCTTAAAGAAAAATGAACCCATTTCTTTCTAATTGCCTACTACTTTATCTTTGCTATATTTGAGGTGATCTATGTTGCTTTGTGGAACAGTTTTATTACCAGGAAGAACTACTGTGACAAAGTTGTGAGGAAAATATTTGTTTTTATTATAAAACATACAGTATACTGATCTTAATATTATATAAAACACAGTAGAAGTATCGGAGTCTTGTAAAGACCAATAATTTATACACTGAGACACAGATCACTGTTATTCTTCCAGTCTCATAGTCTGAAAACACACACACACACACATAAAATAACGACTGAAGTCAGCTAGGGATTCCCTTGCTGTGAGTCATTTGCATTGTTACAGTAATGATTGCTAGGCTGTGAGAGAATAAAATCAGGTTGTTGCTCTTTTAATTTGCTAACTGAAGAGTTGATCCCAGAGAGCTGATAGAAAAATGAACAGAAAATAGTTATTATATTCTATAGAGGCTTGGCTATGTCAAAGCATTGCAGGGGATTAAGGAACCTGTTTGTTTCCAGTATCATCAACAGCAAAGGAAGCAACTTTTCTGTCAATCCTTTTGTTTGTTTTAATACTACTCTGGTACGCTTTAAGGTGCTTATTCCATAAAGAAATAGATTTGGATTATCAATGGGCAGAGTATTTTAGGTTGTGGGTAGAAACAAAATAGATTGGGGCAGGGAGAAGCCTTAGAAAATATCTCCTCGTTTTGAATTTTATTGCAAAAATTACAGATTTATATTTGTTTCCCCTTTCCTCTGCCAATGTCAATTGTGGAAACCATAGTGGTTTTAAACAGAACAAGGTATAAAAGAAAGAATTTCTCAAGCTCATGCTAAATTTCATTGCCTTAAATTTATCAGCCAGACTTAAAGAAGAACTATGTGTTACAGACTCTACAGGACTGCTACGGAAAACAGTTTTCCTGAATCAAATCCTCCTCCTTTCCCTTGTAATTCACCCCATGTAATGGCCTGAAGGATACAAAGCGCAATCCAGGCAAAGTTAAATACCTTTTTGGTCCCACTGACTACAGTGCTGAACTCTCACTTTGACATTTGTGGGATATAAATGACCTTACTTTGGCTGGACTGATTTTATTTTTCATCACAAGAACCCATTCAAGGTTAAGTTACAAAAGTGAACATTGCAAATGTAGAAAGTTCACCAAGTTGCTGCATTTTTGTTTTGTCCACTATTTGTTTCAGGTTTTAAACTCTGTCCCATCTCAAAGATAGTTCAGAGATTTTGTTTTACTTGCCTGAAACATGTTTTGGAGTCTCACAAAGGTAGAGCTTCATGATACACCATTTCTGGCACAACTGTGCTTTTCTCTGCTTAGTACAACCAGATTCATTTAGCATCTGCATTTTCCTAGCTGCGCTCACTTGGCAAAGATGTGAGATATTTGTGTGTATTCAAAGGCATTTGCTTGAACATTAGAATATGTGTACGTAGGTTGCTTTTGAATCACTGCCTAGTATATTTTTAGCTGTGCATTTGTAGAAGCCTGCATCCCTTTGTGTAGCCTGCTGGATGATTAGTGAGCCCTGAGGGTGAAGGAATTTGTTTCCATACAGACGGGACTGAGCTCCTGTTGTCAGATGTGATTTGTCTGGGAGTTCCCATGTTACTTCTGCTTTAGGGATTCCAATGGCCATGCAGTTCAGCTTCACGGTATTGCCTGGCCTGGTGTAAATGACGGGAGCTGGCTCACTTGTGATGCGTGGGGGGTAGGCAATTACAATCACCGGGACATTCATAAGGGAAGAGCCATACTCTGTCACGGCCTTGCATAGGTAGGTACCTCGGTCAAATACAGAGGCTTCACGCACAGTGAGAGAGCCATTCCCAGACAGGGAGAATCGCCCAACAGCTTGGGGACCATCTAAGACCATCCCGTTGGGCAGCGTCCAGGTGACACGGGCGCGTTGGCTGGGCTGGGTGATGCAGTGGAGCTGGAGGGTCTCCCCATTGATAATGCTCACGAGGTTGTTATACTGATTGCTGATCTCCGGCTTCATCCCTACCTGAAGGAAGACCACCCTCTCAGCATAGCCACCTGGGTTCCGGGCTGTGCAGCGGTAGGTCCCAGCATCTACTGCTGAGAGGGCACTGATGTGCAGGATCCCATCCTTCTTGTGGTAAAACCTGTGCAGATGGCTGCCTTTCTGCAGTTCTGTGCCATTGGGGAGGATCCAGGCAGTGCTGGGTTGTGGCATCCCATTAACAGAACAGTTCAGGTTGATGCTGTGGCCAGCTGTGGCAGTAATCCTTTCAGTGACAGGATCCCTGAAGGTGGGCTTTTCCAAGTGGTCCATGACTTGCAGTTGCACAATAAGCCTGGCCTCTCCCCCTTCATTCCTGCCAATGCACACCAGCTGCACTGAGTCGGTCTGCCTCACTCCACGAATATCAAGAGTGCCATTACGGTGCACAGTGATTCTGCTCCCATAGTACGGGGCAGGCAGGATCACTCCTTCAGGGAAAGCCCACATGACCCGTGGAGATGGGATGCCTTCTGCTTTACAGTCAATCAGTTTTCGGCCGTCTCTCAGAGCCATTTCTCTCATGGACGTGATAGTGCTGGGATGCCCATTTATTCTTGGAGGTTGAACATTGACCCGGATCCAGACATTTTTTCGGTCTTCCCCAGCACTGTTCCGGGCTACACAGGTATAGTTGCCACTGTCAGACCTTTGGACCTTCTGTATGAGAAGTGTCCCATCTCTGTACACCTGATATTTATCTGACAGCAGTGGGATAGCCCTGTTGCTTGGAGACAACCAGGTGACTTTTGGTGTAGGCTCTCCTTTTGCTTCACAGCCTACAGACACCACATCCCCATATGGAATGTCAATTGTTGTGTAGGTTTTATTCCTAATGGTGGCAGGTTCAGCCACAACTTTGACTCGCACTTTCATCTCATCTTTGCCAATCTGGTTCTCGGCATAACAGGTGTAGTCCCCTTCTTCTCTCAGTCCGACATCATTGAAGTACAATGTCCCATTGTTGAATACCACATACCTCTTTGCTCGACTTCCACTGTCATCGGACTGCATGAAGGTGTTGATCATGCTGCCATCTGGAAGACTCCAGGAGATCTCTGGATTTGGCAGACCTGTGGCTATGCAGTCAACTTTTAGGTCTCCTCCATACATCACTTTCCGGTTATTCTCATTTGTGTGTTCAATTTTGGCAGGTTTCATCATCACATTTACTTTGAGCACTACGTAGTCATCACCAATCTTATTGCGGGCCACACATAAGTAATCTCCAGCATCCTTATCAGTGACAGAATGGATGAGCAAAGTTCCATTGCCAAATGCCTTGATTCTGCTGTCCAAACTAATTTAGGAAAAACAGAAAAAGCATATGATGTAAGTTTATGGTCACAAGTCATCTTACTTTGAGCCAAAAAAACAAAACAAAAAAAATTATCTTCATTTACAAGCATACAATTCCATCCTGATATTGACATTCTGGTAATGGGAAGGATGGTTTCACTTTATACTTCTCTTCTGAAGATCTAGGTTTATTTACAGAATTATGTTCTACATTTAGTCACAGACATAGAAATGCACTTTAAAAAATCCTCTGGTATATACACATCATAGACGAATCCTATGTAACCTTGAATGACTGGACACACATGTTTATAAAATGAAGAAGGTACTGATACTGTGCAGCAAGATATGCACATTTATTGATGAAGAAATGTTATTCCAGTGTGTGATACTACTTTGGTTATAAGCATGCAAATGTATTTGGCAAATTTAAAGAAGTGGAGCATTTTGTATATGTTAGTACCTGTATTTGGGCAGCAATGCTGTATTGAGTTTACCTGGAATTAAGCCCCATTTGCCAAAGCCTCAGGATTTCTGGACAGAAATGTATTTAATTGCATTATCTGTCACTTAAGAGAGGATCATGGGATCCTTGATGGTAGAGGATGGAAGTTCAACTTCCAGTAACATCACACACAATATTTACACAAGCAGCTTAAGATGTTTATGTAGCCAAATTACTTAATGCATCAGGGTATAATCTTCTCTACCACAGGAAATCATGTGACCAATATATTTTAAATGATTCTAAACATCTAATGGCATTATGTTCCACTCATTTGGCAAATGAGATGTAACCTCAGATGCTGACCCTTCCGGAATATCTAATTGCTCAAGCTGTCTCCAGGTCTGCAGGCACACCACCTTTCATTATTTCAGATCTGGAGAGAAAGGAATGTTAGTCCTAAGTATACATACCTTATATTGAATCAAATAATTGATTCCTATACATGAAGGGTGCAGTACCTTAGGCCTGCAGGCTAATTTGGCCCTCTGGAGTTCCCCAATGGCCACGTCTCCTTCCCCTGGTTCTACCTCTTTCCCCATTTGCTGATCACTTGGTATTTTCCCAATTATTGCATTTTTCCTCCATTAGAGGGTTGAGTTGCCTCTACTAGGGCTCATTTACTGGCAGCAAGAGCTCCAAGGTAAAATATAATGGCCTTTTTATTTTTGGCACTATTCCATTTATCTTTAGCCAGATCACCCACTAGAATGTAGCACCAAGAGCTTCTCTGAAATTGAATGTGGTCCTTGTGCTGAACGGTTTGATGTCCTGATCTATTCCATTCCTATCTACCTTATTCTCAGAGGTTATTGGAGTAGTTCTCTACCCAATGTACAGTCATGTGTGCATGTGTTAGGCAGAGTTTCATGTAACACTCAGAGGAAAACTGGTGTATAACATGTTCATAACCATGGCCTGTACATCTCTCTCTTCAACTGTTAACAAGAAGCAATACCAAACAAATGTACTAGTGCTTGTATCTTTCATCTGAAGCTAATCCAATGGAACGCAGTTACCTAAGGCTTCAAGCAAGATCTTTCCCAGACATGTCAGGAATGGAAATTGGGACCTTCTGCAGGTAGATCATATGCCCACTAAGAAATGTGGCTTATTCTTCCACAATGAAAGCCATGGAGTTCATTCTTTTCCCTAACTGAAACACATTCTTGGAACTGGCTTGAACATACTGCAGCTAGAAAATGACCAGTGCTGATTATACAGTTGACTTTGCCATCGCAGGTTGATTGAGCAACGGCTCCTTATGGCTACACAAGGTCAGGGAGGCAACACAAGGGCTGGAACCTTCAACCAGTTCCCACAGAGTTGCTGGGGTCAGTTCTGACACCAGCATGGAGACACATACTTACCTTTGTGTCACTGATAGGACTTACGAACTACAGGCTCAGTCCTATTGTCTCAGGTACAGCTATCTTTTTGTTCATATGAAATCTAAAAGATGTGATGAAAGACTGAGAGCGGCCACAGAAAGGGGCTTTTCTGTGCCTAGTTCTCTGCAGGGTCCAGTGAAATTTAGCACTTGATGTGACATCATGACACTGCATTTCCCAACCCTTACTAATGGAAGCCCACTGTACTCCTGTGTAGCCCTTAAAGCAAGAGCTGGGGAACTCACAGAGTGAATCCATGACATGTCATGCTGGGCGGGATGCTGTTTTCAGTGCTACCTGAAACAGAGGTCCAGGTTAACTTCACAGAACAATCCTGTAAAATCCATCAAAAACACCAAGGCCCCTCAATGGCTCAGCTCTTCTCAAAAATGGACCTCGCCTATAGTTCCCTTGTGACTGCAGACATGATTACTATCTGAAGAAACACTTCTCCCTGTATCAACCTGCCCATGGCCCTAGACCTGGGGGAATCAAAATAGGGTAGTGGTACTCAAATGCCCTGCCGCAAACAGTATGCCTGCTGCAGATTCCACTTGAACATCATGACCAGGATAACTGGGCATTTATGAATAGCCAGTGCATATGAATGGTTTGCTGTAGTGTAGCTCTCCTCTCCATCGTTGTGGTTTTTATCAGGTGTGTAAAGCACTATTGTCTTTATATAGATCACTGTATACTTTAAATCATAGAGGTATACTCTGGCCTCATCTTCACTGCTTTTTATGGAAGTTGTTGGTGCTAGATTATTAAATGCTTAATTGTCATCAGTTAAAGCCAATAATTTAACGTATGCTTTAATAAGGCAAAGGTCATGTGCCAAAGAGCATTTTAAAAGAACTCTGCAATTCCAAAGCAGTGTAAAGTAAAATGAGTACAATAATAATAATAAAAAAAAACAAGGCCAAACAACTTGGCACACTTGAACTTGCTGGAATACAATGAAGTATTATATTTATACTCTAATAAAAATAGTCATTTGAGCATAAATACAGGCTTTTAGCTAAATGTATACACATATAAACAAAGGAATGAGATCCTGTACTGCTGCTATAGCAAACATGGCTGCAATTCAGCTAAACCGAAGCACATTTATGTTCCCTTCATTTAAGTATGGAGGTCAACATACAATTAGCTCCCTTGAAATCAATTGGGCTCAGCAACGATCCCCTCTGAATGCACTGCATCTGTGTGCGCGCGTGTGTGTGCGTGTGTTTTCCCATATGGAAGAGAGGACACATTGGCAATGGTCCATTCAACACATTTATTTAAGATATGTTGGCAGGTTTTAGCTACTCTCCTCTCTTCATTAGGGCGATTTAAAGTAATTCTATCCTAAATTTATCCAAAATCTATTCTAATTTTATCCAAAGGACTTTCTTTGTGATGCACCCTGAGCCAGACCAGCGTGTTCCAACTTTTCTATTTTTAGGGACCTCTTTCCACAGTGCTGTGTATGATGAGTAGTTCTGCTTACCCTGTGTGAGGCGTTCATGTCTGAGGCACAGAAATAGTTGATTTGGCACGTTCAGCCTCACTGTTGGCTCTGCAGACATGGGTGAACTCAATGAAAACAACCCTGCCCCTGTGGTTGTGCATGATCTGAGGAGGCTGATACTTATGGGCAAGTTTCAGGAGTACTTTCCACCATTGCAAATCTCCTCACTGGAGGATCTCTGATTGCAGGGAACCACAAGGCTTTCGGGAAAACCAGTAGTCTTGGCAAGTGGTTCTAGGCTGCAGTCATGCGTCTTTAGTAGGAAGTCCCACTGATTCCAAGGGAATTTCTGCATAAATGTGCTTAGGAACAAACCCCGAAGCTGAAACATGCCACTGTAATGCTTTAGTGGAAAAGAAATATTTGGAAAAAGTTAACTCAGTTGCTGGCAGCTTTCCATTCTGAAACCCTGTGTATTGTATCTGGCAGCAGAACAGAATGTGCTGCTGCTGCTGAGTGTGTGCGTGTGCATGTGAATTTATTTCTAAGGCCTTAACTGCAGCCCCCTGCAGAACTAGCATGTTCTCCACCCTTTCCCAGCTATTTTGATTCAGGTGGTTCTTTTCCTGCAACTGCTGCCAGGGAGAGGAAAGAGAGAATTATATCAGGATCACTGCAGGAAGAGATGGAAAGAAGTATCTCCATTCTCACTTCCAGAGAGCCTCATAAAGATCCCCATTTCCTATCTGGAAAGGGATGCATGCATGCCCGTGCATGAGTGTGGGTATGCATCACTGTGCAAGCCTGCACAACTGTGCATGTGCACTCACACAGGTGTACATGCACATGTGTCCACGCCTCAAGCAAACATCACATCCAGGTCTCAGAGAGGAAAAGGTTGGGAATGGTCAGGATATAATAAATATAATAAACAAATAAATAAAGGCAGTGCAGCTTGATTTAGAGTTATCCAGTGCACCATCTCTCTCATTCCCTCATACACAAAGGCATATTAAGCTGGCCATTTAACTGCTAATCAGGGTGTCTCAGGAAATATTGTTGGAGTAACTTATGAGTTCATGCTCACTTGCAGAGTTGTCATACGAAACTCATGAAAATCATCAGTGGACACTAGACATGCCAAAAGTAATAGCAAATGGGTTGTTTTTTTTCACCTGTGTAGGGAATCGACCATCCTTTTTGAAGGAAGCCTCCAGAGTATCCAAGGCCAGGGGTCGCCAGATGCAGTGCAGTCTAGCTGCAGGGTGCTGCCATACGTTACATCCGTTCTCTGTGGAGAGCTCCCAGTGATCTTGGCATTTGTGGACTGCTTCTTGACATGCAGCCACACAGTTCTTCGGGAAGTTCCCACCATATTGGTCGCAATGCATTCATAGCTCCCGCTGTCTTTGGGCAAGACATTGCGAATGTACAGGGTCCCATTTGGGAAAACAAAGAGATTGCCATGGACAAACTGGGAGGTTCGGATCTGAGTTCCATCGAAGAGCAGCCAACGGATTCCAGGCAGAGGTGCTGCTTTGGCACTGCAGTGAATGTTAATGTTCTGTCCAACATTGAGGGAAATGTTTTCTTGTTTCTCCTGTTGAATAATCGGTGGCAAGGCAGCAACGTGAAGTCTCACAGCAATACTATCAGCTCCTGCAGCATTGCTGGCTACACACTTGTAAACTCCCCGATCTGAGAAGTTTGTGTCCTTAAGGGACAAGGTTCTGTTTTCATACAGCATTACCCTGCCCTCTGTAGTGCTCACAGTTTGTAATATTTTCCTGTCAGGAAAAATCCAAGAAATGTGTGGGGTTGGAATTCCACTGGCTTGGCAATCCATGGTCACTTTCTCTCCAAAATAAACAGTCACATCTCTGAAGCGGGAGACCAGCATTTTTGGCTGCTGGGCTAAGACGGTCAACAAGACAATCATTTTGTCAGCACCGTGCAGGTTCTGAGCAGTGCACAAATACTGTCCACGGTCCTGAAGCTGAACTTTGCGAATAATGAATGTACCATTTTTCAAGACTTCAAAACGTTGTATCTTTGTATTGGCTGTCATCAGGGCTCCTAGAAGGTTCAGCAGATAAGAGAGGGGAAGAAAAGAATAGTTGGTAGATTTCATTCTCATTTTCCCTCAAGCAACACTTTACAATAGAATAATCCTAGAAATTCACTTTGGCTGCTCAGTAAAACATTACAATAAGGGTGCAAATCTAATCTGGCCAGGGAGACAAATCCAATTTAGTCCTCTGTGGTTCCCCAGAAGATCATTTCCTCCTCTTTTTCTGGTTCCACTGTTTCTCCCGACCACTGATGGTTTGGTATTTGTCCATCCCTAGTCCCCTGTTCTAAAAGGGTTAAAATGATTTTCCTAAGCCTTAGTTACTGGCTTTAAACTAGAACATGCTGATTTCTTGGCCATTTTACCCTTTGGTCTTTGGACTGACCCACCACTGGAATGCAGTTCCCAAGAACTTCTCCAAGGTGTAACCTTCAAACTGAAAGAGGTTCTACATACTTGCCATAAAGCCTAAGATGTGCAGATAGAAAAACTCAATCCAGCTAGTCACCCATAACACCTCCTGGCTCCAGGTGTAGCTGTCCATCCCTGTATATAATCAGAGGAAGCACCCTGTCCAGTTATGGGGAATGCTTGCCTCCCACAAGTTACTGCACTGCTGCTCTGCTTCTATCATCCCTCAACATGGCTATGGCAACTAGGGATAACAGGAGTTGCAGACCAACATCTGGAGGACCACATTTTCCCACACCCTGATTTAACTCATTCATCAGAACTGTGATAAGCATCACAATGCCTTTGTGTGCATGTATTATGCCTCAGCAATGTGCACAGAAGGATGCTTACATCCATGATGCATGGATGTCTTGTGCATAAAGGATGCTGTTCTCTTGAGAGAAAAATGGAAATGTCTGTATTCATGCCCTATTATGATGGTATCAAAACTGACACTTTAAAAATCTTACCTGTGGAGATTTTCTTCCAAGAAAGGAAAGGCTTGGGTTCTCCAATGGCATCACATGGGATGACAGCATCTGACTCAGCAAAGATGGATACAACATTAGATTTTTTTGTTATAATCTTTGGCCTTTCTCCTTGCATCCTGAAATGTGTGGAAGGCTGAATACTGCTGGAATTAAGTGCCTGAACTCCTCCTAGCTTAGGCACAAACAGCATGTTTGGACTATTATAGTGGATGATCCTGGAGGATTGCTGCATGGTTGGAGTCACCTGAGGTTTAATTCTTAGAGTGTTAACTGTAGGAGAAGCAGGCATGGCTGGTGGTGTGGTACCCAAGGACACTGGAGGCACTGGAGTAGCTGTGACTTTTAGCGGAATGCTTTGCATTATAATCCTAATTGGAGAGAGGAGTTTCTTCTCATTTGAGCTTACTGGAGTATGCAGATTAGGCACAGGTTGTTTAGAGCTGACTCCTAAATGTTGGAATACCCTGGTTCTGTTAAACAGGACTGGAATTCTGGGATTTGGAAGATAAGGTATCGCTTGATTTACTGTTCGCCCAGGTTTATCTCTGATTTCAGGGAGGTAGTTGTTGGCAAACACTCTGGAGTGAATGCTGTATCTGGTTTCAGTCTGGCTGCCAAATCTGCTTGGAGTATGCAGCTTAGGCCTGTATAATGGTGTAGCTGTTGTGATGGAGGGAAAGGTATCTGGGCGAAAAGAGGTTTTCCTGTCCTGTGTTGTATGTGCTGCATAGGCAGTTATCTCTGGTTTATTGGTATGGTGGAGAGGGATCTGATGAGTCACAAAGTTACGGAAAAGGCCTGGTGCAACAACATATGGAGGTTTCAGGGTGCTTCTCACAGGGATGTGTTTTGGAGGTGCCAGAGCAGGTGGCTGATTAAAAGTGGGCACCATTCCAATTGACTGGTTAGGAATTTTGGGTTTCCCTGAGAGGCTGTTGAATGATCTGCCATCATATGGTTCCTTCAGTTGTTCTTGCTTTTCTTGTGTGGAGATTTTGTTGTGGCTTAAATGGGAAGTGGAAAGTTGATTCTGTCTTGAGGTGACTTTGGCTCCTCTGCTATCAGGGACGGATCCTTTGTTGTCTGGGGGTGCTAGTTGATGATACGTGTAATTTTTCTTTGCAGAAGAATGATGGGATACATTAACATTGCTAGGCAATGAGCTGGGAAGAGTGGTGGTCAAAGGAACAGGTGAAACAGTCAAAATGGAGGAATCCCATTTTTCTGTTCTATATTCAGTAGTCTCAACAGGCTGTTCATGTACCTGAGCAATCATGTCCAGTGCATGGGTTGAAGATAGTGATGTGTCTGTTCTACTTTGCCAAAGATTTATCACTTGTTTAGTTTCTGTAGATGTGAAAAGGTGATTATCTGTTGCCCCATAGTGAGGTAAAGTCACTGTTTCTCTTTGGTGGAAATTTGTTGCAGATGTAGTCATTAGCAGAGATTCTGAAGAATTGTGCAATTCATCTACATCTGGAGGATTCTTAACATGCTCCTCTGTGCTATTGTCAGCAGTCGGTTGCTGTGCAGTAGCAGGTCTTAATTGTGCTCCATTCTCTGGAGCTAATGAGCCAATAGAAAGAGATTCTGCTACTAATTTTGGATTCCCTGTGTAACTAAGGTTAGACGGACTAGTGGCACTTCCTACAAATACTGAAGTGCTTGCTGTATGGGCCTCTGTGACTTCATCATTTGCTGTAATGATATTACTTTCAAAGATTTTGGCTAATTCATTTTCTGTAGATGCTGCATGTCCTGAGGTGTGAGACAAATTCAGCTGTTTGTTGGGAACTCTAAAGTGTGAATCATGAGCTGATGTGAACATGTGACTTTTCAGGTCCTTGGTAGTATAAGTAAGAGGTGTTTTGGGCACCGAGGTAGTCAGTTGAACAACTGAATCTACTTTAATGTTGTGAACCTTGGTGGTCATTTGTAAAGCAGGAACACTTGTCATTAACGAAGAATTCACCTCCAAAGGTTTATATTCATTTGCATGGGGTGTTTCAACATCAGATTTCTGATGATTTTTAAAAGTGGAATGTTGCAAAGTTTGTGTGGCAATTTCCAGTTTAGGTGTTTTTTGAATGAAAGGCTCTTCTTTTATACTAGAGGCAGTTGGAAGAATAGGCTTTGGTCTCCTGAACCGATTTGGTCTTAATCTCCTTCTTCCATATGGTCGCCTTCGGGGATATTGGATAACTGATGGGTTAGAGGTGGTTACTTTTCTTTCAGGTACTGTCATCATGACCACTGTGGTCAACTTGTTAGTGGTTGCAGCAATTGTTCGCCAGTCTTTCTTTTCTAATGGAGCAGTGGTACTTTCTACAGTAGAAGTGGATTCTGGTTTTTGAACATGCATGCTGTCCGAATTCCCAAAGGGGTCAGAAGAAATTTTCACTTGCTGATGTGCAATGCTACCATTTTCTGTGGGAACCAGATTCATCACTGAAGCAGCAGGAGGAAAAACAGCAGTCGTGACTTCTAAATTCAGATTGTTGTTGATCTGAGAATGTGTAGAAATTATTGCAGTGTTATCTACTGTGTTCATACTCTTCTGCCAAATATTTGCCTCTGTGTCTTCTGAGATATGAGTTTTTGCAGAAACTTTGGGTAGTTCGGAAGAGGAGAATACATACTGTGTGCCTTTCTCCCCTTTCTCTGCTGTTGTCAGAGTGCTCTGAATGTAAGGAAAGAGGCTTATTGTTTCTTCATTTGTGGGCACTCTGGTGAAACTATCTAGGTGTCTTGGTTCTGCTGCCTTTGGCTGACCTCTCCCCAAATTTCTGTGATCCCAAGACTGTGTTGGAGAGATCTGAGTATAACTTGTGAGAGATATTTCCATACCGTATGGGCTTCCTGTTGTGTTTGAAGATTCATGTTCTACAGAAGGGTGAGACTCAGGACTCACTGTTGTAGAAGATGCTTGGTCTTTGTTATAATTTTCTGTGTTGATAATAGGAAGAACTGTGGTTGAGAACATCTCTGCCTCACCCAGATGTGACACATCTGCAGAAGACTCTTCATTGATTTCTATAGTAGTCTTAGGCGGAGGACTGGCAGCAGGAAGAGGAGATCTGCTGGTCTGCTGCATGAATGGAGTTTCAGTTGTAGTCCTTAAGGACAGCCCTGAGGCTGTTGTTACTCTTGGAAGGTTTTTTCCACGAACCTTTGCCAAAATGTTGGCCCACTGCTGTGGATTAATTTGCTTGTTTGCCATATTTATCCTCCGTCGGGATTCAAATACTCTACGGCCCTCTGCAACATTGATCTCTTCAGCCCTGTCCATGCCCTTCCAGAATTTCATTTTACGCTTTCCTTTTTTGTTCTTTTTAAATTGAAGGTGAGAAGCATGGTCATTCTTTTGTTTAAGAGATACTTCATAGTTCTTGAGATGGATTTTTTTGCTAGGAGTATCATAAATTTCTTCAGCACCAGAACCTCTGTCATCTTCTATGACGCGCCCCCTTGCTTTCTGGGGGGCGTTTGAGCCAGGATGCTTTTTTAATTTCACCCTTTTTGAGGATCGGTCAGATACCATTTTATTTACTGTTACTTTAACAGCAAATTGATCAGATCCATGCTGGTTGATAGCCACACACCTGTAGTACCCACTGTGACTGGCACGGCTGTGTGGAATTAGTAGTGTGCCATTGTCTAGCAGGTACCCATTGGAGGAGTTTGAGAAATCATGAAGAACGTGGCTGTTTGGGAGTATCCAGCTTAGGTGTGCATCTGGGATAGCCATTGCACTGCAGGGCAAAAGTATGGACTCCCCCACATTTTTTTCAATATTGGTTGTCCTGGAGTCAGCTGGCTGAATGACTGGAGGCTGCACCAGAACTCTGTAGGACATTGTGTCTACGTCACCTCTCACTTGGGCAACACAGTAGTACACTCCAGAATCAGCATAGGCAACTGATCGGATGACCAACTGACCACTGCTGAGGACAGAAAACCTGCCGTCTTCCCCTTTGAATGGAGCTTTGAGTTTGGTCCCATCTGGGAGCATCCATCTGATGGAAGGACTTTCTGATGCTTTCACATTGCAACTCAGCTGAGTAGTTGAACTTTCCACTACACTCTGAGCTGTCCTGGTGTGCTGGTCTTGCTCTATCATCACCCAGCTGCTTCTCTGCTGTCTGTTTTCTTGAGGTTGGAGCATCTGAGAAACCTGGGTAGAGAAAGAGAGCACTACTTTTTTCCCAGTGCTCTGGTGTCTGTTTAATTGGATATGGATCAATGGTTGCATCACCCAGGCTGGTTCTGCAAGGATTCGCCCTTTGACACCTGTGTAGTAAAGGGCATCATAATCAGAACCTTGTCTATAATGATAGCTTAACTTTGGTTCATGGCTGACCACATGTTCCCTTTGTAACTTGAGGGGGACTTCACTATAATAAGCAATAAGCTTCCACAATTTTTCATAGTTGTCTCGGTTCATTAGGCATTCCAGATCCAGGGAAATGGTAGCATTGACTTCAATTTCCTGGGGAGAGATCTGGTTCCACTGAATTTGGGTAGAGTCTGCTGGTTTCTTTATTTCACACTTCAGGTTTACTATATTTCCATGCTCATCAGTCATGTTCAGAGTAATGTTCCATTGAGTCAGTTGAAATTCTTCCATGGGAAGCTCAGAGCTGTCATCATCGTCATCCTCTTGCTCGTTGAGACTAATATTCTGTTTCAGAGGAGACTGTATGATGGGCTTTGTGCAGGAAATATCTTTCACAGTTTGAATATCTTGTTTCTGAAATTGCTTAGGGAAGCTGCATTTTGGGCAAAGTTGGCCTTCTTCATATGCTTTGTCTTTTTTACACTTTAGGACACCTGGAAGACCAAAAAAGGAAACAAAAAAGAATTCAAAAAATCATAAATAATAATGATTTTATCTGTACAATCTGAATACGCCACAGTTACAAGCAAATTACAAAGAAGCCAACTAATCCCACTTCCTTTCAAAGCCCTGGCCTCATACAAATGATTGGTCAAATGATGATCACCAAGAGATGTTGGTTATGGTTTCCTATCTATGCTGCCTCAGATTGCTTAATTTACCACTTCATTTTTTTTCCATTTGATTTTCCTCTCTTGACATTTCCCCTCTCAACATGGATGCTTCTGGAATCCACTTCATTTAAATTTTGTCCTAGAATTTGGCATTTGGAATGATATTATCCTGCTTCCAAAGCAGAATGGATATTTTAGAAATGCCACTTCATTAATCCTCAGTAGTGGTACCCAGTCTTTTGAACTCTCTTCGTGAAGGAGTCTTGTCTTCACCTCCTTATTAATGGCCTTCCACCACTAGGCAAACACACACACACACACACACACACACACACACACACACACACACACACATATATATTAATTTAAGCAAGTATTTGGCTCTTGAGCTGATTTGTTTTTCTCTACTGCTCTTTGTTCTTATTTGTATTTTTAATGCAATTATGTTTTAACTGACTGCAATTATTTTTTCATCTGCTATTATCTTGCTTTTCCCTGTTTTGATTGTGACACTGATCAGAGAGAAATATTATGGTCCAGGTTAGTGTGTTATTTGTCTTTTCTGCATGCAGGGAGTTGTCTGCATAGGAAGCATTCAAAAACATGATTCTGTATCACTTGCAACCGAAAATGATGCCCTCCATTCTACCAGTTATGGATTCTGCAACCTCATTCTGCTATCCATGTACACCAGGCCTTAGTCATAACTGCCTCCAGGGAGAAGATTTACCAAATAGCCTCCACTGTGGCTTGGAAAGTTCTTTGTTTTCCATAAAAATGCCTCCCCCTGCTCTGTGGATTCCATGCATCTTAGTACTGTGCACACCATTTTATTGCTGGGCTTTCATCATGGAATGATGCCTAATTAGTTTTGGGGTAAAACTAGTTCAAATATACTCACTTCTGCATTTTACTACTCTTGTTCACTTCCCTGCATCAGGAAACATGGAATGGCAGTCTATGGTTAAGAAATAAATAAGCGACCCAAACGCTGAATATAGTCAACAAAGGAATGCAGCACTCCCAGTTAAAATTCTGTTGGAATCTATTTGCTACTGAGTATAGTTAAAATCTCTTACCTGCTGATTTTGCACTCCATTCAAGGAGCCATTTCAACCTGCAGTCACAGGACCAGGGGTTCCCATGAAGATAAACATTCTCTAAGAGTGGCATTCTTTGGAAAATGCCCACAGGGAGTGTTCTAAGGGCATTTTCAGACAAATAAAGGTGCTTTATTGTGGACATCCTGAAAAAATCAAGGACCAGGAATGTGGAAAATGTGTTGGGGTGAAGCTGCCGGAGCAGGTTTCCTTCCAAATGGAGGAGTCGGAGAGAAGTTAATCCATTAAAAGCATTTGGGTGGATGAATTCAATTCTGTTGTGGTCAATGTGCAGTCTCATAAGGCTGGAGAGGCCTTGGAGGGTTTGACCTGTTACAACCTGCAGCTTGTTGTAGCTTATTTTGAATACCTAGACAGGTCAACAAATGAACATGTTAGGGCTTTGATATACTACAAAAACACAACATAATATGGGAAAATAGGAAGATGAAATTTGACCACTCATAGGTCCACTGAGATAAACGGGACTTCATTTAGGCTCAACAAAATTGTTTCCTGTGGGACTTAAGTATGACTAATTTGATCTGGACTGGGCAAAGAAAATAAAGAACATGAATGAACATGATGAACTCTAGCAAAAGACAAATTCAAAAGCTTTCAGATACATAAAGAATAAAAAATGGTTTCTTTACTCCATAATGAAACAAAATATATCATTCATTTCAACACTACAGGGCACTGATAAGTAGAAATGAACAATTATTTCAATTTACCTTTAAAAAACATGCATTCTGTGCATGGTTGCCCTAAAATACACAGTTTTGCTTAATATATCATTTAAAGCAATTTTCCTAATAGAATGCATTCTGGATATTGTTGTTGTTACTCATTTCTATATGGGTCCACAGCTGAAGCTCGCTAGAGAGTTTATACAATCCAATTATGTTCACTTATATATGCATCTCTGTGTATCATTTCTTAATTTATGCATTTTTATGCAGTTTTGCATTGGCATGCTTCATTGTATTTTGGTTTGAAAGCATCAAGGTAGGTGAATATACATTAAAATGTGAACTGCATTGATTTTTCTCCATTTCCTGTTAAGGAGTTGGATATAATGATATGTTCTGCACATGTATTCACATATTCTTACTGAACACCAAACATAATCTTGCTATGCTGTGCATATGAGTCCATGCATGCATACCACAGGTTTGAGAACATGAAGATTGTTGTTATTTTAAGAATTGTTTTGGCTCTACCTGTAGTGATGCCAGGTCTTTTAAGGCACCATTGGGTATATTTTGGATGTCATTTCCATGGAGCATGAGCAGTTCTAGCTTTGTGAGTCCTGCAAATGATTTTTCAGATATAGCCTGTATGCTGTTAAACCTGAGAAGAAAACACATTTTAAAAGTTCTGTTATGAATCATTATTCTTTATTAAGAAAACCTGGCATTTTAGGTAACTTCACCCCATTCCTAAATCCTACACATAATTTGACAAAGTTAAGGAAACATTTTAACAAGGCCATGTGTCCTTAACTAGTATTTCACGTATGGTTTCTGAAGTCGGCTGTATGCTGCATTGGTCATAAACTAAATTAAATAGATGCAATTAAGTTGGAGCTTAAATTCATGAAAATGTTAATTGGAATAGGGTTTCCCCTATAATCTCCAAATACTGGGGGTGTTAGTCACTAGATCTATGATCAACCTGGCAAAACATTAGGTCTTTAAAGATACCAACAACATATGCAACAGTACACGAATAACCTTTGCCAGAGGACATAGAAAAATGAACGTATGCCAAACAATTGCTCGAAGCAGAAAACCACAGGTATTAGTTGCACTGCTAGATCGGCCCATATAATATGCAGTTTTTTTAACCATTGAGTCAAATCAGTGGCCTTCAAACTAGAAAACTGTGGGTCTAGATGCTAGGGCTAAGAGTGCATTAAGGAATGCTTAGCTGATTACTTGCTGCTTTTGCCAGATTACTCCATTACATTTAAGCAGATTAGTGTTTCACCACACTTTCACTTTGACAACAAAGGAAGCATGTGGTGTGCTATAATTAAATAAATCAAAGCCACTATGCGTTGTGTGATAGCCTTTTAAATTTAACTTTATTTTTCCCTATGAACGTATAACCAAATTTAAAATTTAAATGTATGCTTGTGTTTAACTCACAGTCTCATTAATTAAAATTTGCTGTTCCCAATTTCTGAACCAAGACTCTCATTGATGCATTACTGAAAAAACCAACAAAAGTTTGCAGTCTGATAGTGAAAAAAAATCTAAGCTTTAATATTGGGAAGGAGAAAGTATATGCTAAATGAATTTAGGATTTCCAGTAATGCTCTAATTGGCAATTACTTTTCTACTTTCAAAACTAAAAATAAGGTGATTTGTGTTGCATTTGGTTGCCCTCTTTGGAAAGATATATCTCTTGGCTAAATAAACACATGAAATAACTTGAAGGGAGATGGGAATCCCAGTGCTTATAAATTAACTATGCCTGCTACAACATGTGCAGTTTCTGCTGTGTCAGCAATTGAAGCATCTCTGCTAGCAAGGGGTGGGGGGTGGGGGGTGGTCATCTCTGCTTCTCTTGTCCAAATATCCCCGTGCTCCCAGAAAGGATGATACATCACTAGCATTGACAGTGGTAAAGATTCATAAGCAGATCATAGGCCCAAATTATTAGCATAAGGAATGATACAAAACAAAGGATTTTTGGTGCAATAGTACAGCCTCCTGACATTGTTTTGTCTGTTGGGTGGGGGAAGAGAGACAGGATTTTCTGTAGCCTCAGTTCTGATGGGGAGGGAAGGGGAGCAGGTTGGGTCTAGTGACTTACACTGTTTCCTATTGCTGCCTCACCCTTTTTTCTCTCCCTCTCTAGTGTTTCTTCCAGATGGATAAAAATAGTAAAAGGTAAAGGTAAAGGTTTCCCCTTGACATTAAAGTCCAGTCATGTCTGACTCTTGAGGGGGCGCTCATCTCCGTTTCCTAGCCAAGGGAGCCAGCATTTGTCTGCAGACAGTCTCCATGGACAAGTGGCCAGCGTGACTAAACACCGAGGTGCACAGAACGCTGTTACCTTCCCACCAAAGTGGTACCTTTTTATCTACTTGTATTTGCGTTCTTTCGAACTGCAAGGTTGGCAGGATCTGGGACAGAGCAACAGGAGCTCACCCCGTTGTGCAGATTCGAACCAGCAACCTTTCAATCAACCAGGCCACCAACACAGCAGTTCAAACCACTGAACCACCTGCATCCCCCAGATAAAAATAGATGTGTACATAAAATATACAGCATGAGGCACAGTAGTGGCAGAGATTACCACCACTCCTTGTTCTATGCATAGGATGCATGCAAACCTTTTATGTTGGAGGGTTGTGTGCATATGAAGCAGAGGGCGTTATTTATTTTTATTTATTTATTTGGGATATTTCTAGCCTGCCCAAACACTTTTCTCTCTGGACGGCTCACATTAGATTGTGCCCTTAGTATTTCACTTCCACATCAGGAGGTAGCCTCTTTTTACTTCTTTTAAAACTTTCTTTCACACTGATACAAAAATGTGAGTGCCCTGTACTCACATTCCATTTTCCTTTCTGCACAAGTGACCAATGCAATTTATACAGTGCTCCAGGGCCTGCATGCACACATGTAGCACAAGTTCTGAGTGATCTGGGAAAGAAACCCAGTGAGCTTAGGAAGATAGACATGACCCTTAGCAAACAGAGATCAAAGAAAAGGTGTTGTGAGGGAAAAGTTGCGTGATGGCAATGTTGGCAGTAAGGCTGAAATGATCTCCAGGAAAAGCAGGAGATTCTGTAACAAGGAAAGGAAGGAAATTGTCACGTGGGGTTATACAGGAAGTTTGCTGTCTGTGAGGCCAGTGTGCGAAGTATAGCATTAGATGGATAAGATCCTTGTGGAAGAAGAAGAGTGGCAGGTTGGTAAAGGAAATGTGAGGCACGGAAGCAAGTTCAATGAAGCTGTAGACCTTTGGGTTGTGGGGGGGGGGGGAGATACAGGGCAGCAGACTGCGTATATTTGTTGGGAGGAGCCCTCATTGCTTCAGGGCAACAACAGTTGTAACTTCCTCTTTGAACATGAAACGATAGAATGGGGTTAAGAGGTGGGTTTGAGGAAAGAGAAGGAAAGCAAATGCTATGCGCATTCACCAGTGGCTCATCATGTTTGTGATGTACTTAAGGCAAGTTAGCAGGATTTGAGAGCATCTTGTTTGAACCCAAAGTTAACCAAAGTGCAATTAAAAGTAGATCATGGGGGTTTTTAGACCAACTCCATTAATGCTGCTCTTTATATAAAGCATTTGATTTGTGACACATTGGTGTCAAATTGCAACTCTGTTGTCTAGCATTGTGCATCACCATTCAACACATGGGATGAGCTCTAAAAGATTATATTCAAGGAATGCAAAGCAGCACAGTAAAATTTCAATACAGACCCCAAATTGATTCGTTCCACATGTTTAGAAATTCTTGTTGGTACAGCTGCTAGAGACCGAAATGTGCAATGAACTTCAGTGGGAACGTAACAGGCACAAGGGTGAGGACATGCACGTGTAGTTCCTGGAAGCCCCAGAAAGAGAATCAGCACCACGGATAGTGTTTCCAAATTTAGTTGTTTTAACATCTTCTCAAATGTCTTCATTTCGCTATACCTATTGCACTGTAAAAGAGAATGGATTCAATTACAAAACAGATTGGGACAGACCATCTTAAATATTATGTAATTCTATGCCTTCCATGTAATTGGGCATGAATAACTTCAGAATACCACTGTATAAGTTGAATGCTAGAAAGGTAAGTTAAACAAAAGCAACCAGTCTTGCACATTTAGACAAAACTATCTGCCAGCACAGTTAGTACCTTCCTAAGTGCTTAGGTTTGAGGGACCAAGTCTTATAATCAGCCTGTAAATGTATTTTAGCCATTTAAATGAGCATGCATTGTGATTTTACTAGATGTGACATGCCTTCAATTGATTATTTATCCAAATACACACACACACACACACACACACACACACACTAAACACCACACATTTAGATATTCAGGTCCAGTTCTGACAGCATAAGATTCTTTAGATAAGTATACCACAGAGGTTGTTCTGATAGGATCATAGAAGTGTAATCTGAAAGGAACCACTAAGAACATTTAAACATGCCACATGCATGTAGGAAGGGACTCCTCACAATCAAAAGTATCATGGTGCCACCCTGTTGGACCCACCCCCTTTCTTTTGCACTCTTCCTGGTCCCACCCTTGATGTCCACATGTGAGGCCTGGATGTCTGAGCAAAAGAAGCTATGTGCATAGACCTCTACACACAGAGGTTTCCACATGTTCTGAATTGGCTGTGATCACTGTTTCAGTAGTTTGCTCATGCGGAAGTCTGCTCATGGGGGAGATTTATTGAGAGGTCAGCAGGATGCAGGCTTGCCAGACCTCTGACTTAGACTCCTGGGAGTTTTCATGAGATACCTGAAGACCCAAGTGTGACACTGTGGCTAAAGTCTAAAGATGGGCAGACGTAGGCTAAAGTCTGAGGAACAGAGTGTCTCTGAGCACATGCTGAACACAAAAAGTTATTATCAGCACTGGAACAAAATTTACAAGTCATGTCATGTAAAAATCCATTCCTGGTGTGTTCCCGCCCAAGCATTCCTTTTCAGCAATCTAACTTGAGCAGTTAGGAGTAGAGCTTTATGATTCTTGCATTTGTTAGATGATTGGGAGTTAAAGGCCCTCTCCAATCTTCTGCATGTCACCTTAGTAGAGCTCAGTTAAAGTTCTGAGCACTCCTGGCCTATTTGCACTGGATTCCCCACTGCTGATAGCCATACTCAACAGATGGACATTAAAGGTTATCAGCATTACAAGAGGGGTTTATTGTGTAACTGAGATTCTCCACTCTTAAAATATTGTTATGAACTTGTCCCACAAGCTGTGAGAAAATATTCCATAATCATGCTTAAGAAGAGCCTCGAAATGCAAGTAGCAAAGTTATAGCAAGACCAGTCTACCCCAGATGCTTGACAAATGCCAGCTAAGCTTGGAGAGGAGAGGGAATCCCGAAGGGGCCGCCAGATGATGTCAGCATCCCTGCTAATCAAAAACTGCTGGTGCTCCCTCTCTGCAAGCCATGGCATAGGTATCCCACCCCACCATTCTTATTCAGTGGCTTGCAAGAAGCTGACCTAGTTCCCTCAACACAAGTCAAGACCTTGGTTTATCCTGAGCCAGTCTAAATAAAATCTGATTACAGCCATTGTAAGCCTCCAAATTCTTCCTTCCCAAATAACTCTGCTCTGTCTTAGGATGCCAGCTTGCCTGAGGACACTCAGACCTTTCTGCTTCTTTTGCTTGCTCTAGCTTGACTTTTTCTGTGTGCTGCTTGCCTTTAACCTTTCTCTCTGATGCTGCTGTCACCAATGCCCTCACCTGCTTCCTTTCAATAGACTCCCCTCCATGGCAGAAACCAGCTGTGCAGAAGGGAAGGAGAAACCAATGTATAACTGTACTGGAAGTTTGATTCAGATCTGGAGAGGGGTGGCTGGACAGGTAATACCCTCTCACCAGATTCCTCATCTAGCAAGCACAATGACGCAGATGACTGAGCCATTAAGCCTCCATTAAACTATTCTTTGTGTACAGCTCTTAAATCTGCAAGCAATAAGACAATCATTCCCTTCCTATAAGCATCATATGCAAACCATTACAACTCAAAGCCGTGGTTTTATCAGGCTTCAGGGGCTTCTCAAATGCTTGTGGTCAGGTTAATACAAAAGCTGCCCTTCTTAAAAAAGTTTCTGTGACATTTTAAAGAGTCTTTCACTTGATGAGGTGTTTCTTTGAGGGAAGTTGTCATATTTAAATATTGTACATAGTTTCTATTATTTAAAGAAATAATGAGAAGCAAACATCTATTTCTATTCATATAATTCTTGCTTAGTACCAAACAGAAGGTACACATTCAAAGGAAAGGTTGCTATTCAAATCCTGGGTTAAGGCTTCTAAGTGCAAAATGATGTACAGAAAGGTGCATCTTTTTTTAAAAAAAAGTTCTATAACTACAGCACATCACAGGAGTATTCACCCCCATTTTAAAAAACACTTTGTTGTGTTACAACCTGGCATTGAAATGGATTTAATTGGTGTTGTTACCACTTAATGTATACAAAACTTTCAACACTGAGGGAGCAAAATATTTCCATTGTGGCACAAAAGTTTGGTTTAAAAAATGACACTTGTAGTTGTGTAAGTATTCATTTCCTTTGTTGTGACATGCCTAATTAAGCTCTAGCACATTTCATTGCCTCCAGAAATCAAAAACTATTTGTAAACAGTTGAATGGAGTCCACCTGTGTGCATGTTCCAATGCCACATGATTTCAGATTAAATACACCTGTTTCTGAAAGGCCCGAGAGTTTGTTGGAGACTGTATCTAAACAAACATCACCATGAAGCCCAAGGAGCTATCAAAACAATTCTGGAATAAAGCTGTGCAGAAAAGCTAATTAGGGTTGGCTTATGCTGTAAGTCCTAAACTTCACCTGGAGCATTGTTAAATTCATTATTACAAAATGGAAAGATTATGGCTCGGCCTAGAGTAGGCCATCCATCAAAACTCAGTGATCAGTTAAGGGAGTGAATTAAAAAAGTAGTAATCAAGAGGCCAATGGTAACCCTGAAGGAACTGGCAAGATCTGCAGGTGTGATGGAAGAAACCATCCATGCTGCTCCATGAAGCTTGGCTTTATGGAAAAGCAGCAAGAAGAAATCCAAACTCAGATCAAACTCCATTTAGAGTTTGTGAAAAGGCATGTGGGAAACACAGCAAACATGGAAATGAGTCCTTTGTCCTGATGAGACCAAAAGTGAACTTTTTGGCCTTGCCTGTAAAATACTGTGTATGGGGCAAAGCCCACAGTGTAGAAAGAGGGCAGCAGCAGCAGCATGTGCTGGGGATGCTTTTTCTAGCAGGGAGTGGGAATGGCTAGGATAGAGGACAAGATGGATGGGGCCAAATGCAGGGGGATTCTTGAGGAAAATCTTCACGGGACCTGGAACTGGAGGGAATGGGCACCTTCAGCAAGACAACAACCCTGAACACACAGACAAAATAAGACTGGAGTGGCTTGAAAAAACAAGAACCCAGGTGTCTTAGAATGGCCCAGGCAACGCCCAGACCACAATCCATTTGACAATCAGTGATAAGATTTGAAAGCTGCTGTTCACCAGTGGTTCCCATCCAATTTATTGCATTTATATCCTGCTTCTTTCCAATGAACTCAAAGCAGATTGACAGAGCTGGAGCTATTTTGCCAGGAAAAAATGGGCAAACATTGCAGCAAAGGTGGCAGAGACTTACCCAAGGAGAAGCTGTAGTTGCTGCCAAAGGTGTCTCTACTAAGTATTGATTTGGAGGAAGGTGATACTTATGCAACAAATAAGTGCCAATTTGGTTTGGTTACTGAACTTTGTGCCACATTAAAATATTTTGCATTTTACATCTTGTCAAGTATCTTGTGTACATCAAGTAGTAACCAAGACCAACTGAATCCATTTCAATTCCATGTTATAATACAGCTAAATGTGGAAAAGGCACAAGGAAGTGCATATTTCTCTAAGGCATACATTTAGCCAGCTAAAAGTTAATTAATCTTAAAGAGTCTGAACTTTTGTTTGGGAGTGTTCTGTGGCTGGATGGTATCTTGATTGGTATGTGGTATCATTGATCACATAGATTGTAGATTGGACACAATCCTATGAATGCCTATGAGAAAAGGTTCTACTGTTCCCAGTGTTTCTGTGGCAGCTATGCTGAGAGTTGTAGGACTTTATTCCACCTAAACATGCATCAGATTGCATCCTTAAATTGAGAACTGTGTCTGCTCCCACTTAACCCCATCAAAGTATCAATGTTTACATTTGCATTGATTCTGTGTTTAAAGTATGACTATCGTAAAAAAGATTGTATAATAAATTACATCCACATAACAGCTTTTTGTTCTAAAGCTGATGGTGTGCATTAATATTATTTCTTTTGAACTGTTGCTTATCTATGTTTTAAAAATAAAAAGCATCATAAAACGAGTCATTCTTTGAACTTAAGCAATCAAAAACACATTCATACTCCACCCGAATCATTGATAAAAAGATTGAATAACATCAGGCCCACAACTGAGCCCTGAAGCACCCGACTTGAAACCTGTCCCTGGTTTGATGGGGAACCAGTGCTAAGTGCTCTCTCAGCATGATTTTACAACCAGCTGTGAATCAATCCACCAGATGGCCTGCATTTAAGTGGTTTCCTAACTGAAATATTCTTTCAATTTTTTTTTGGACTACAGTCATTGATTGGTGGGAGAATTACCCAAACTCAAGAGGAAAAGGGAGACTAGGCTATGAACTAGCCCTATAGCTGCAGCAGGGAATGTGGATTTGGGGTTTAACTTGGACTAGGTAGACCCAAATTCAGGTTCTTGCCAAACCAAAAAGCTTTCCGGGTGTGCCATCCACTACATCTCAGACTAACTTAGGCTACCTCATAGCTGTGTAGGAGAGATCTATGTATGTGATTCTGAATTTAGTAGAAGTGTGATATACAAATGCAATTTCTAACAATAAAGGAAGATCTGCATCTTTCTGTCAGCCC